TATATCAGGCATACAATTTATTATTCAGATATGAAGTTAGAGTTATAGCGCAAAGGCGCATAACAGAGTAATTAGCTGTATTGAAGCTATATGTTAAGGTGATAATTTTAAGGAGTAATTAAGGTAATATCGAAAACCCGTTGTGTGCAAAATTTTAATAAAATAACTTCAAAACTGAAACAATTATTTATAAAATAGTTAAAACTTAATCAAAATTTCAAGTACCGTTATCTCGAAGACCGGAGCCAACCGGTTAAAACGGGGGATGCCATTGAGTTTAGAACGTTCCAATTAAGTGAGTTCAGCTTTCAAAATCATTGCTGAAAATTTAAAACTTGCACAACGTCATTAGAACCCAGGTTATTCTTTTGTTTTCTCTTTAAACGATCTAAATGTTTAGTCCCCATCTAACTTTTGAAGCACTTGATGAAAATGAGTTACACTTATATTTATCGATTTATTAAGAGATTACGAATAGAATCATATATATAACATAGGTGTGTCCACAAATTAAAAAATTAAACTTTTTGTTTTAAAAGTGTATCGATTTTATTAGATTTGCCCATATGAGTTTATTAGAAGGCCTCCGACTTTACCACAGTTACCTCAATTCGATACCCCAGTGTTGATATCATTAAATGAAACCTTCATTAAGATTATACGATTATCCTATGTCAAAGTTTTAAAATTCTTTTTAATTATGCACACGAAAAACTGGTAAAAGCTATCAAAAGCACATAAATAAAACCCGTCAGCACACACATTTATGCATACATATATTTAAACATACATATATGAAGTATATGTATATACATACATTTTGTGTTAGAGCAAAAGATTCATCGGCTTATACGGCTATTAAAAAAGGTATATAGAAAGTTGTATACTTAAATAAACGCGCTAAGCGTTTTAACGGTTTGAGGTTGTTCGTTTGTTTGTTTATTTATAGTTTTTTTTTATATTTTTTGGCATGAAGGGGTCTAAAAAGGCAGCAATGCGGCAACGGCTCCACTGAAATCTTTAAGGCCAACAGCTGTGCCACAGTTGAGCCCAAAACAAAAGCGTAGCATAAGCCGGCTAAGAACTGGCAAGACTATTGGCAAATAAACTAAAATAAGCAGCAGTACAAACCCCACCCAAATGGGAGGGTAAATTTTATTGAAAAAAAAAACACACACACACACACACACAACTAAAAAAGTAGCAAATAAGCAACAATAACAAAGCGCAAGTCGATGCTCGATGCTGGAATGTTGGAATGCGCGTTACAAACTGAAAAAAATGAGCACTTGAGCCATTTAAAATGGGTTAAAATGTTCGGGTCGGGCTAAAAGCGCCTGTGTGAATGCTACATTTCGTAAACTGTGGCCTGTTTTGTGTGTGTGTATGTTTGTATGTTTGTGCGTATGTCACTGCAGTTTAGCCAAAGGACTATTGTTTGTATATAAATGTATATGTGTATGTATGTAAGCATTTTATGTTTTCATTTTCCAAAAAGGTCGATGCAAAGATTACTCTGTTGGCCGTTGCCGGTTGCCAGTTGTTGTACGAGTATCGTTTCTTTCCTTGCAGCGTTCAGCCTTAGCACAGTTTCGCTAGTTGCTACAATTGCTGTATTGTTGTTCACATTTTTTGTGCTGTGCAATGACGATCTGTTTGCTTCTTCGACATGGCTTACATTACGGCTAAAATATGCGCACACACAAAATGAATTCGCACACCAACAAATAAAAACCGTTTATTTGTTCAAAAATGTGCGCTCGAATACAGCTGCTCTTGCCATTAGCTATGGATGTGTTTCGGGTCAAAGTTTCCGTTAAATTAAAATGAAAATTTTTAACCGAAATTTATGCGTGCTCTAAGAAAATATTTTCACATAGTTAAGGCATTTGCCTGCAAGTATTCTTTTATGCACACGCACACATATATGAATTCATTATAAAGTTGAACGTATGTATGTATGAAAGCTGCTCGAAGTCAATTACCCCTTTGTGGATTTCCATAAAAGTAAAGAGATGTTGAAATGGTAAGAACATAAAATTATATGGCTATCATGAAAGGGTTTCTCGGTGTTTATGCGGAAATTTACACTTTCCTGCCGCATCTTTATTGAATGAAATGTGCAAAGGCGTATACATACATATTTGTAGTTAAGTAGTTTGCAGTGTATATGTAATTTGAAAAGCAAGAAATCTTGAAGGCAGCAAGCATAGCTTTGTAGTGTGTTGAAGTGCCTTTTTGGCGAGGAGATAATTGCTTTTCAAAGTAATTTTAAACCTGATATGTGTAGGTTTAATGATATTAGTGTGTGCGTGAGTAGCCATATACTTATTTACATATGTACGTACATAAAGCATGACTGCAGTAAGAGCTACTAGTTCGGAACTAGCTTAGTACCAGTTTGCTTTGCAGGTCAACTAGTATTCTCTTTCTACAAAGTGCCAATTGTCAAGGCTCTACCTACATCAGCACCTATAAAATGGACAAACTAGTCTATGTATGAATATCTGCATCAGCTCATGTTCGTGAATGCATTATAGACACTCTGCGGAAATTCTCCAAAATCTCAGAAACTAAAGGAATAAACCTTAAAAAAAAGCGAAGTTTAGGGATGCAATTCAAGAACTCTTTTTCTTTCAGAATCTCCCATATATACTCCATATTTAGTTAAAATTATTTAACCATAATTTTGCAAATATAACATGTTTTATAGGAAGAAATACCATAATTTTTAGTCATTGATGAAAAATGTAAAGACCGGGCTTTTCGAGTTTTTTTTTTGTTGTGGGTCCTTTCTCATTTTCTTAGCCTTCTTTCAAGCCATGCTTAACTTTCCACCTCTAAAGCAATTTAAATTTTTTTTGGAACGGTTCTGGATTTTTAAGACTTTCTGAATTATTTTAGATTTTTTAAAATTCTTTACTTATATAAGGGCAAAGGTGAAGGACGAAAATATCTCCGAGTACTGTGAGTAGGTCATTACCAAGCATACTTGCATGCAACTCTGTAAGAAAATATATCTAAAAATTACCGTTGATTTTTTAGAATTTTTTTGTGACGTGTGTTGCGATTTTCTTCCATATAACGCCCGAACAAAACTGACTTTTATATGGAAGAAAATGCGCAACCCCCTGCACAAAAACAATTCTATGAAATCAACGGTAATTTTTTAAACTTGCACTTTACTGTACTACAATTGAGTGGGCATACTCTTTTTAAGAAATCTAATTAAAAAAATTATATTTTGATGAACATTTTTTTAAGTTTAATTAGCTTTTGCCCGATTTGAAACTTTTATTTATGGGGTATCTGTTATAGATCGACCCATATTTTAAATGAAAATCATTAACAATAAATAATTAAGGTAAGTTGCCACCAGCATTACTTTGAATTTTGCTGCTTTATTTTGTCAATTATATGTCTACGTACATATGTACACATTTTTGTATAAATTAAAAAGTGTTGCCATGAAATAAACGAAATTTATCATAAGCTTATAACTAATAGAAACTTTAAATCGTTGAAATGGATCGCCTTTGTTATTATATGGTTAGTAGTTGCGCTTTTAAAGCCAATCCTTTACTTCTCATTTGTCAAGTTAAATTTTTGTAAATCCCAAGACACATTATGCGTTTGTCCCGTAAGGCTGGAAAAAAATCTGGCAACACCAGACTGAACAAGCATTTTCAATACTATTTCGGGATTCTCGGGACTATCTCGAGATTTTCGAGACTATTTCGGAATTTTCGTTACCTTTAACGATATTGTTTTCGTTATATTTATCGATATTGTTATCGACATAATAATCGATTTTGTTATTGGTATATTTATGAACATATTTTTTATCGATATTGTTATTGATATATATATGTACGAAAATATTTTTCAATATTGTTATAGATAAATTTATGAACATATTTATCGACACTGTTATCGATATAAGAATCCATTTTGTTATCGTTTTTTTCGATTTTGTTATCGACATATTTATTGATTTTGTTATCGATATATTTATGTATACTTCTATCGATATTAGAACGAAAAGGGTAGAGGCAGGGATAGAGATAGAAAAAAGATAAAGTATAACTTTAAGCATGTGATACGGCTTTCCCACGGCACCCCAATAACCTAGTTCGCTCTCTCATTCGAAATTCGCACTCCAATTACCCTTCGAGTTCGTCATACAAAATTTTGCGAACGAATTACCTCATTTGTTGGTAATTCAGATCCAATTATCATGCGAATTACGAGCAAATCGGTGCCATCTCTAATTTTTATCGGAAATTTATCGAAACTAGCTCACAAATCAAAACTTGAATTTTTTCTGGGTACGAAAAGTAAAGTTTATCAATGTGTATATCCCTAATTTAACCAAACTTATAAATTTTTAGGAAGAACCTACATTTTGCAGCGAAGAAAAACAAAAACAAAACGCAGAGACAGAGAACTGTCAAATCGAATTAAGAATGCGCCCGTGGGAATGGGGTATCGCCATCGTAATTGTTGGAGCGAACAAAAGTAATTCAGGATGCCGTGGGAAAATGGTATAAGAATATATTAACTAGCCTTTCGTTTTATTTATTCACAATATTGAATCACTGAAATGCATATGTATAAGTTATGAGACAAACTAGGTTTGTACATACATATCTAAGGTAAGTTTAACTGTTCCAATGTGGTCGAGGCGCACTTAATTTTGTTTTTGAAATTGTTCCGTAGAAACGGAAAATAGATGCAGTTTAGAATTATCTGTCTTTCTAAATCAAAAACTTAATTAAAAAAAAACAAAGTGGTCTTGTGGATATGTATACCTCTTTCTTACTTGAAATATGTAATGAATAAAATTATATGGAACTATTTGAATTTTGGCTTCCTTCTGTCCCCATAAATTTGTTTGTTGAAAATTAAAACCAAATACTTTGAAAAAAAAACGTTTAAATTTAAGTACTATGCATTCTTGTGCATTTTGTTCTCTAGTACCTAATAATGTATCTACTTACCTGCTTTAACAACAACATCCCTGGAAACGATTGTACCCACAGCATTACTGGCCACACAATGATACACTGACCAATGTACATCTTGCCGGAACTCTTCCGCTTCGAATGGTGGGAAATATAGCGAACCATTGGCGAGTATGTGACGGACCTGTTAAGAAATGAAGCAGTGAAAAAAATTGATATTAACTTCAGAGAGCGAAGGTAAAACAAAATAAATATAACAAAAAGCAATTGAAAAAAAAAATATTTGAGAAGAGCGGCGGATTTTAATTAAGAAAAAGAATTTCAAGTTTTACAAAACAAAAAGCATTGCATAGTGATGGTATTAAAAATTTATTATATAACAGCCATGACGAGCAGTTACAGAATACTTGAGTGATTCGAACCACAATCGACTAACAAAAAATAAAAAAATCCAAAAGCTATTGGCACGAAATATACAGTGATTGGGAAATACATGACAGTCGTCAAAGAGCAACCCACCAAACCGGCGACAGAGGTGGAAAACAATGATATTTTTCTACCACAAAAAAGATATCGGTACGAATATTTATACATTTACACAGACGCATAGATACCCTCAGCGCCTCTCACAAAACAGCGAAACGGCTGGTGCTACTTTTTGGTACATTGCCCGTTACTTGGCGCGTTGTTGTTGCTCCATCGTTTGCTGCACTTGGAGCGTTGACTTTATATTGTGCACGATGCTGCATTGTACTCGACGCTAAGCCATGAAATAAAATGCGAAGTTGCTACATTGTCTGACCGTCCGTTAATCTTCCTGACCAACAACACCCTACATTTGTCTAGAGCTGGTAGCTGAATGCCCCACTCGTCTGCCTTGCGTCTACTTCTATCGTGCTTTACCTTCTCCTGCTGTCCACTCTTCCTTCTACTCTCCTTCATTCGTTCCTTCGTTGCTGCTATAGTATCGAAATAACACGGACCAGACAGCCAGCTAGCGACCCGGCGAGGCAGACTCCAATGGCGGAAGTTTGGTTCAAGTGGTTATTGATTGAATTTGTTCGAAACTGACTCAGTCACTGCTTGCTGCAGGTCAGTCGTAAATGATTGTTGCTTTTATTGTCATTTTGCTGCTTTTGTGTTTGATTTTCTATGGTTGTGGCATTTGTTTCGCTTTTTGTAGTTAAAATATCTATAAGTACATACATATGTATGTATGTACGTATATGAGAACTGTGCATTGTGGGCGTCGGTTGTGCTGCTCTTGTTTCGAGTTTAGAGCTATATTGAAGGGCCTGCCACAATGTTTTGTTCTAGCGCATGCAATGCTAGGCTGTCATTCTACTGGTATTAAAGTGTACTTAAAGTTTAAAGTAATTTTAATTATTTATTTATAGGAGAAAGCTTGTCGAGGCTCATTTCGAGTAAGTTCCATACCACTACAAAAACACTTACTAGGAAGTTATTTCAATAAAGTATATCGTTAGTACATAACATCGTCGCTGAAATGCAAAAAAGCCACAACTAACTAAAAATTTGTATTGCCTAAAACGATGTGGGGACTTATAATTCGATGAAATCCAATGTAATCAATTAAAAAGTGGGATTTGGATTTTGAGTTCGAGTATATGCCGCTGGATCTAAACAGCGGTGGCTAGATTGATTCTATTTTATGGAATTATAGTATGGTGGCCGGCTTTGAGCAAGGCCTCCAAACTTCATCTGCTCAAAAAAGTACAGAGGATTAGTATGATCTGCATTAGCGGAGCAATCCGGACAACGCCAGTTGATGCTTTAAATGTATTTTTGGATCTTCTGCCACTAGATCTAGTGGGTCAGCAGATGGCATCCCTTGCTGCACTCCGGTTATGAGAGACAGAGCAGTGGGAATCGGGATATCTGGGTCACTCCTGCATTCTGGAGAAATATAGCTTTCTTCCGGGCTATGCAGGCCGTTGGGTTGAAACTCTAGCTCTGGACAGAAACCTCGTCATGAAAATAACAGCAATTGGCAATTTTCATAGATGGTTCAAAAATTAACGGTAGAATGGGAGGGGGTCATTCTCCAGCTACCCTGCTATGGGCTGTTCATTTCGATTACCGGACTACTTTACTGTCTTCCAGGCTGAGGTAGAACCTTCTCTAATAAAATGTAGACGCCGATAACTTCAATGGAACCTTTAAAATCCTCTTCAGGAATCAGNTATAACCAAATCTTGGTTATTATAACTAAACCTTTTTCTGGGTGTATTGTAATAACGCCTAATGGTTTTTTGGCGCCCTTTCCATAAAATGCTTTTTTGGAAAGCTTCGCTTTCGCATATTGTTGCATTGATCATTGCGCGGCGCGGATTGGCACTAATTTGCTGTTTCTCTAGTATGATCGGATGGAAGCCAGCATTCGAACGGAAGCAGGGAAGAAGAGGGAAGGCCTTTTGTAGCGAAATTTCCATCAAGCTCAAATTAAGGCTTTGAAAGTGGTCGATTGGATGCATAACTGTGTGACGTCGAGAATGACACTAATAGCCGAGCGGCTAAAAGTGCCTTGGGCTTTCCCATGGTGCCCTTAAAGATAGTAAGTGTATGTCATACCGCTTATCCGGTTACGTCTGATTATATCCTAATTAAACTACAATAGGCACTATATCACAGTTTCAACTAGAACAATCATGGAATCGGGATTACATCAGGAAATCATTACTCCTGGAGCGAGACGGCACAGCGGTGGTCTGTCCGACAGCTTTTAAAGCCAGGGGGATGGCCTCAAAACGTTCTAATGGAGCAGGATCATCGTCGGTTAGTCGATGCAACACCATTAACTCTAAAAGCTCAGGGCATACCGAAATCAACAAAATGGTGCAACGAGTTAAACTGAACTCCAATTTTGGCTTCGTTCAATATAACCCCAAGGAGAGGTGAACTTGTCAACGTGCCCTAGACAGATTTAGCAGTATAACTGATGGCGCTGCTGCAAGAAGAGATAATACACATCTTGTAGAAAATTATTATTTTTTTCTGAGAGTACATCTCCCTGTGCCCTCACCTCAGCAAGGAAAAACACTTCGACAGTAACCCATCCGGATTCGCGCCCATCTATCATTCCCTACACGGAGCTATCAAACAGACGGTTGCATAGAGAGAACCAAGCAACTATGCAGTCTCGAAAAGTGATTAACAATGTCCATAACTGTCTTAGGGTCGAAAACGATATGTGTTCAGGATTAACGAACACCTCTACAAGCTTTTCAATCAATCAGTCTTTGCCCGGTCTCAGAACTAGATGGTATTCTCGGAAATGAAGACGGAACGAGGGAGCTAGTAAGGGATCTCAGATAAAATTGACAGAAACGGTTCAGCCGATAAAACATCCCATGTGATTCCTGTCTTTCCAAGTTGAGAACATAGCCATAGCATCTAGCGTAAACGTTAGGATTCTAACAGAAATACTAATGGGACAGCGGACCCCGGACCATTGGCTATAAGGATGCCAGGTCTATACCATCACATAATGATTTCTGTAGAAATTTTGAAAATAAAAAAGAAAAGAATCCATCCAAAATTTCCTAATTTAGCAAATGCCCCGCACAACCGTGACAATGTCACAGATTTCTGCCAGAACACCTCTTCGACAGCTAAGTTGGCCTAGAAAAAACTAACTTGATGTTCTGCTATAAGCAAAAAAAATCCAGATGGTTTAAAGACATGAATTGGTAGGTATGAGGACTTTCGCTTCTGGGCATCTTAATGGACATATGCAACCAATTACACGGAAGATTGGAAAAGTTATCAACTTAACAAACTGACCTCGTATTTACTGGCGCTCATCGTTCAAGTTCTTTAATATGCAGTTACTCTTAGAAAAAACTAAAATGGTGTCTTACTAAAGTTGCAATTACTTTCGATGATTTATTAGTCATAAGACTCTAAAATACATGCTACCACAATGTCTTTCAAAATAAATCTATTGAATAGATACTCTATTGAGAAGGTATAGCAAACATTTTGTTGCCGAATGATCTGGTAAAATTCTTATACGCCTTCATATCTAAAACTCAACCCACAAAAGTTCAAAGCCGTTCGAACATGTAACATATTCATTCAGTTTTTTCAATTTTGCGTGAATGTGGTTAATAGCTTTTAAAAAGGTCCTTTAGGTAAACTTTTATAACTAAGGCAAAAATAAAATAAAATGCATGAAAAAAACGAGGGTAAACTATTTATTCGCTTTTTTCCTTCTTCTCATGACACATCTTTTCTATGTCGCTGCTTAAAGTTTGTCTCTAACTCCATTGAAATGTTACCTTTGATATTGAGGTGATGGGATTATTATCCTTGTCCAGCCATTCGACATTCGGTGGCGGATTGCCATGCGCTATACAATCGGCAATGCTGCCAGCGTTGTTGGTGAATTCAATACGCGATGGCGGTTCATGCGAGAAATTAGGCCCTTGAGTGTCAAAGTAGTTGGAAGCATCTGCAGAGGAGAATGGAAAAAGTAGAAATTAGATAAATATGCATTTAGCGGAACAAAAGTAAAGTCAAGTAAAAAAAATAGTAGACGAGTTGTAGCACAAATGGCTGTGTATGTATGTATTACAGTGTGCGTGTTTCCCCCTGGGTTGGGTGTGAATATTATCAAGCTGGCAAATTACAGATCAAATTTGTATCATTCTTAGATTGTATTTATGTCCACAAGAAATTAACGTTAAATGCGATGATTGCGGATGCAAACTGCAGATAAGAAAAGTAACCAAACACCAATGCCGGGCGCCGGGCACAGACATTTCAATCTCTTGAGTGCGCACCGAAGAATGAGCTGGTTATGGCTAAATGCTTAAGGGGCAAGTAGCGTCGTTGGTTTTCTTACTGCAAACCAGCTAGCCACCTACATATGTACGTATATACATAGGTACGTATTTGACTAAGTGTGCTGCTGGATTTCTTAAATCTTTTTATTCTATAGAATTTTATTTTTATTTTCTTCCTACATTTTAACTGTTTTGTTTGAAACCCTTTTATATGCTTTTACGTTTCTGTCGCTCGTGCTACAAGCATTCTAAAGCCCTCTCCTTCTATGACTAAGGCAGTTTACCTTTTTCGTTCTTTACAAATTCCCTTTCCAGCAATTTTGCCAACTTCTTTATAATCTTAACAGCTACGCTGTTACAGCTGCTCCAGAAAGACCTTTTCAAACCAAACAAACAGTTGACGGGATTGCCGTGGTTTGTCTTTGGTTGCTCTGGGTGCTTTGGTTGGTGGTTGGTGGATTGGAAAAATGCCCGGATGGGTATATGGCAGTGATGATGGGAGATATGGAGTAGTAGAAAATTGATATAAAGACTCATCGCACACAGTTGATGGCGACACATACAAACCACAATGGGTTCAAGTGCGTCCTTTGCAAATCTTACATGCAATTTTACTGCCCGCAACCCCCAAGCTAAACACAGCCAGCGCGCAAATGGCCTAAAAGCCGCACGAGCAAACAGGAAATTGCAAGGAACAAACTCAATAAAGGCGCTGCGCTGTGCTGCAGTGTGACTGCCCCATTCGCAGGATGCATCTCGGAAAGCAGGCAAAGTATTGCATAGCAAAACCAAAAAACAAACAGAAAATTAAAGGAAAGGATACTCACTCACTTCTAGAAATGTAGAAGAGGACAAAACAAAAGCAAGAAAAATATTTTGCAAATGAGTGGTTGATGTTGGCCGATATAGATGAGGGCGACATTAAACTGTAACCGAGAAGATGTAATTACTATGGTTGAGAAATTGCAAAGCCATATGAAACAGTTAAAGTTGCTACGTTGCCCTTTGTGTATGCAGCTTCCTGAGTTTTCTCGCTCCGGCAACGTTAGGCTTCTTTGCATACATATCTTATGTTTCCCCCATTTCGCTAGCAAATAGGATTGCAGATTACATTGACATCGAGACGACGATGCTGATGATGACGTTGATGTCGATGCAGGGAATCAGCCGCAGAATTACATTTAGGCAAATAAAAATAATAAAAAAACGAATTGATGAAACGAATGTGACGAGTTGCGAATGGTAAAGACAAAGTTACGCGACCCATTGATTTTGAGTTTGTTACACTTATGACGATGAAACCAGGAAGCCAAGGATGGCACAGTAAATTACTATTAGGGTACGCCATCAATAATATTCAATTTGAAATTTCCGTTATATTGTCACAAGTAAGCTCTGGTCGGCTCAAATAGGGCCACAGAAACCCATTTATAGAAGAGTGGCGAGTTTTAACGATTTGTGCTTCATTCCGATTGACCCCGTGAAATGCCTAACCTTCTCCTTTCAAGCGAGAATACTCTGGTGCCCATCGTAGTTCAAAACCACCTCTCGATCACGAGATCGAAGTTCTTTCGTAGGCTGGAATATTGATGGCCGACCATGAACCAATGAATAGGTCGATCGAAATCAAAGACTTAGTGACCCACAAAGACTGTTAAGTAAAGTGACTAGGAAGTTTTTAAGCAAGAAGGACAAAATGAAAAAAATATGTGTGCAATGATTTCGAAAACCTATTCGAATGCTCTCATGATTTGTAGAATATTACTTATTTTATTACTTAAAAAACTTTATTTTCATTACTTTGAGCAAAAAGCGCTTCGCGGGATCTCTTGATAACCGTTCAGTATTATTTCTCAGAACTTTACGTAATTTTCTCAGAATTTATTGCGACTATTCATATTTTCGCGATCTTTAAGAATTGTTTGTGTTTAATTTTCTGGCACTTTCCTGAGTATTTTGTTATATTTTTCGGGTTTTCTAAATCTTTTCCGAACATTTTTGGAGGTATGTACTTCTTTCTTGTGACTTCTCGAAATTTTTTCAGCATTTGTTTTGACTGCTCGAAATTGAATTGCTTTTTACTTTCCGGGACTTTTTTGAATTCTTTGCGATATTTTTCAGGACATTTTGACATATTCTGGATCTTATTATAAGATTTTTTTCCGACACTTCGTGTTTACTTTTCATGCTTTCTAAGGACGTTCCAGAATTTTTTCACGGGTTTTGGAATATTTAGGGACTTTTCGTAGTTTGCTTTGGAATTTTTAAGGGGCGGTTGAGGATTTTTTGAGGACTTCTTATTTGCATTTTAGCGATTGTTTTGGAATACTTTTCGGAATCTTGCAGGATGTTTCTACAACAGCTCAGAACATCTTTCCAGATACTTCGCGTTTTGTGGTCATACCTTTCGTTTTAGGTTTTCGGAATTTGTCCGGGGCTTTTTCGAATTGTTTCAAAACTTTTTATGACTTTCCAGATTGTTTGAGTTCTAGTTTTTGGGACTTTTCTGCGCTTTCTGCACATATTTCTAGATACTTTGCGTTTTATATTGCGAGATTAATACGAGGCTATACTTTTCGAGGATCGTGGGACATTTCAGTCCTTTTCTAGCTTTTTGTGAACCTTTAAGCATTCCTCGTTTTTTACTTCTCTGTATTTTTGGAACTTTGGAATTTTTTCTGTTATTTTCGGGACTTTTTAGTTAAATCCCAAGATTTGTTCATGACTTTTTCCAGGATTTTTCGAAATTTTTTCGGAACCTTTTATGATTTCTCGTGTTTCACTTCTCGTGATATTTTCGGGACTTGGGTTTTCAGAATATATCGGTCATTTTGGTGCTTTTCCATAACTTTCGAAATTTTTTTGAATCCGTTTTCTTCGTTTTTTATTTTCAGAATTTTTGGGGACTTTTGAAGTTTTTCGGAAGTTTTCAAGTTCAAAAGTATATACAAATTTGTATTTTGCAAAAGCAAACAGCTATTTTTGAGTTTTTACTTTAGTATTCACCAAAAAAAAATTAAAGTAAAAAAAATAGTTATTTTGTGCTCAAACTAATGAAACTTTAAATATGACTATCAGTGTTGAATTTTTCTTTTTAAAATGCATTCTCCACACGGTCTCTGTATTAAAACAATGCTAAAGGGCCAAAGAACAAATATGCAGGGTCTGAAGATAATAATATAGTGTAATTAGATTGAATAATTGAGCTGATACTTAACTTAAAAAATATTGGATACATTGGGCCTTGTGCATAAAAATTTAGGTTTAGCTCACTTTCAATATTTGTATTGTTGAGGCGTGCTTAAGCCCAGCAGTTTACTTTAGAAACTGAGTCGGAGGTTAAGCTTACTTTTCATAAGGTCCAGTATTAAGTTCCTACGAACGGAACTGCAAACATTTTCTTTCTAAATTTTGAAGGATTTTTTATACTGAAAAATTTAAAAATGGTAAATTAATCTATTTTACAAAAACAGCTGTGTTATATGCATAATATACGAAAAAAATGTGTTACAAAAAAAAGCTTTACTTTTACTTATAGCAATTACTTACATATATTCATCAAATAATAGGAATCTCTGTGACATTCGTATCAAATTAGCTGCGCATTGGCTGTAAAGTTCCTGGCCATTAAGGCTAACGAATATACATACATACCGTCGTTTAAAGTATAAAACCGCGTACCGCCATTCTGCAAAACCGCGTAACTGACATTTGCTGCCAAAAATTGGAGTTGCTCACACAAGCTCTTGGTTCAAGCCCCTTATCCATTCATCCTGAAAAAACCTAGCCAGAAATGTGATTGCCTTGTAAAAAAGAGAACCATTTTGGTATATGACTGAAATAATATGAAGAAAATAATTTATCCAACCTCACATACGCGATTTTGCATTATTTTGATACGCGGTTTTGCACTTTAACCGACGATACATTCAGTCTAGCTTTTTTTTTTGATATTAGTTCTTCAAATTAAAATTTTTTTTTGTTGAGGTGTTTAAAATTAAGAATATCGTATATTGAGTTCTAGTATTCTACACACATCTTCAAATTCATGAAGTATAAAAGATTCCAATCAAAGACAAGCTCTCAATTCCTACCCTCCGCAGTGCACTTGACTCGCTTTTGTTATGCGGGCAGATTTCAAAATTGTTTACTTATCACATACACACATGAACTCACACCCACATGTGTTGCATTAAAAACCTGAAGGAGAGATTAGTCCAATTGCTCGAAAAATATAGTCGTAGGTATCAGGCGAATTTGTAGTAAAAAGTGGTCCAAATGTAATGCGGACAACGGGTACAATTAACGTTTTACTGATATGTAGGCACATATTCAACGGATTTTATGTGCGGCGTTGGCATGCAGAGAGAGTATACGCTTAGAAAATCTAAGAACCCCGGTTCGAATCGCAGCTGCCGCAAGTTTTATTTAAATTTTTTTTTTATACCCGAGCGCACTTGTACATAAGGGTAATATAACTTTCTTCGCATAACGATTGTTTGTAACAGCCTAAGGGAATCGAGATAGATATGGACAAATGTATACATAAATGATCAGAATGAAAAGAGAAATCGATTAAGCGGTGACTGTCTGTCCATCCGTCCGTCCGTCCGTCCATCTGTGCACACGATGACTCGAGCAAACTTGGAGATATCTTAACGAAATT